CTGGGGGAATTAAGAATGTCCTGCGTGTCTCCACTTGGAAAAGGCCCTTGGAAGTTTGTGCCTGGTCTCCTCTGGACTTGGTCCCATGTGGCTTTTCTCTTTGCTGACTTTGCTTTGTATTCTTTTTTATGTAATGAATCTTAGTCATGAGTATGACCATATGCTTGGTCTTGTGAGTCCTAATGAATCGTTGAACCTGGGGGTGGTCTTGGAGAGCCCTGACACACCAGTTTCTGCACTGATAAGTCCACAGCTTCATCTCAGTGCTCCCCCCTCTCCCCACTAGCATCCTCAGATTATATAATACTCAACTTAGACTTAGCTAAGGAGAATTTGCCCACAATATTTTGAAGAGTAAACAGGTTTTATTATTTTAATCAAAAAAGAAAAGGGCAACACATTCTATTTTGAATGTGTTTTAGGTTTTTGACTCCTTGATCTGATTTTATTTCCCCTTCCTTTGGTGGCTGAGACAGGACCAACTTTTAAGGGTACTATTTTTATCTGTGGATTTAAAATTTTTATTTTCAGACTTTAAAACATTGTTAGCTCTTCTTCTGCTCCTGAATACATCAAGCTTGCCTTAACCTTTTGTACCAGCAGTTCTTTCTGTCTGCTGTGCTCTTCCCACAGCTTTGCATACCTGGCTCTGTCTCTTCAGTAAGTTCTCAATTTAACTGTCACCTCCTCACAGAGGCCTTCCCTAATCATCCAATCTAAAGTAGCCCTCACCCCACTCACAGATCACGTTGTTTTAGCTTCATAAAAGCTCTTATTTCAACCTGCTAGTCTATTCATGCTTAATTTATTTGTTTGGTGAAGGCCTCTTCCCCCTAGAATATAATTTCCACTCAAACAAGGCTTTTGTTTAATTTGATAAGCATTTATTCTCAGTGCTAAAACAATTCCTGGAAGAAAATCTAGGCATTTAATAAATATTTTTAATAAATGAATAATTTAATCATTTGACTAAATAAGAGAGACACTTCAGAAATTGCATTTAACAGTTTTCAGGGGACTAGCCCAATTTTGCCTTTTTTTTTTTCCCTGTTGCCACATTCATTGTATTCCCCCTCAGGTTCTTTCCCCAGTGGGCAGCCACTTTTTTTTATTGCACCAGGCCCCCAAAACAGCTAGATAGGCAAATGGAGAAACAATGCCATCAATCATTATCAGGTAGGCACTGTCCTCTTTCTTTGAAAGGGCCAGCACTGTTATTTAAACATCATCCAATATCTTAGCATCTTACAAAGTTTAACTTCTACAGAAAGCAAGGAGGCAATTGCTATGGACCAAATAGTGCATATTGGCAGATAGATGTCATTAAGATTTACTTCCTTCCATCTTCTGTTCAGTTGCTTCCGTGAAAGGCAGTAGGTTTCTCTTGTCTTCTTCAATTTAGATTTATTGAATTTCTGAATCTCAGCCATATCTTGTTTGTCAGATATTTTGGCAGATTAAGTAGTAATGGGGTACACAAAAGAAAGTCAGATTTCCACAGTGGTTACTCTTCCCCACTTTTGACATTCCCATCTCCCATTGCAGCCTCGTCTGAAATTGCACTAACCTTATTCTCCTTGTACCCTGATGATTTCCTCCTACCCCTCCTTAACTGCATCTGTGCTCAAGATTCAGCCTTCTGCAATTCTCCCACAATGAGACTCTGTAGCTCATTTTATACCACTGAGCTTATACTTCTATTTCTCTAGCTTTCACTTTCACCCAAGGTCTTTATCTCCAATGGCCTGTTGCCATTTATTTGTATTTGGAGGTTCAACCTTTAATGAAATATGTCCAACACCTAATCTACCACCTTCTCCTCAAAGAAGAAACTTCTTTCATTTTCTTTTTTCTAATATATACATACATATTTTAATAACTTATCTGAAATCATTTTGTCCCACTATTAATGTACCCTTCATAATCAGTTATCATTAAACCATATAAATAGCTTATTAGCTGTCTCTTATTTACCATTTCCTTCACTAATGCACTAGCATAGATTGATAGCACAAGAGCCCAGAATTACAATACAACCTTTCAATTCAGGGTCTCTCCAAGTGTGGTCCAGCCACCCTTGCAGCAGAATCATTTGAGTGTTAAAATATAGATGCTCAGACACCATCTGAACCCTAACCTGCAGAATTATAAATTATCTTTCTACCTCCTATCTCCACCCCAATCCAAATTACTCTGCAACCGTCTACACATGGCTTACATTGGGACACACCTCTGTTTAAGGACTACCCCTTTGTATCTAATATATTTGCATGCATTGAGAGTATAAAGTTAAACTTAAGGATCAGAACACCCTCACATTTTAGAAAAGAGAAATTTTCACCTATGGAGGTTACAGAGTAGGTAAGTGGCAAAGCCTGGACTACATCTCATGTCTTGTTATTTTCAAGCCATGCAGAAAAGGGTTAACAATGCAGACCTGACTGCTATCTTTGGAAATCTTGCTTTCAAAGATGCCTGTGGATGGCATCTGGGAACTTTGATTTGGTCAGTGTTTCCACCATTCCCAGGACTGATAAGAGTTGCTTGATGTGCCTAAAATGTTCTTACAAACAATACGGTTTAAAGTAAATGCCTGCTTTCCTTTTGGGAGTCTGGGATTTGGGTACATGTCAAACAGAAGATGTTACGTGACCATCCCCCCACTAAAAACCCTGGGCACTTAGTCTCTAAGGAGCTCCTCTGGTTGGCAACATTTCATACATGTTGTAACAACACATTACCAAGGGAATTAGCCATGTCCTGAGTGACTCCACTGGGAGAGGACTCTTAGAAGCTTGCATCTGGTTTCCTTTGAACTTTGCTACATGTGCCTTTTCCCTTTGATGCTTGTGATTTGTATACTTTCACTGTAATAAATCATAGCCACAAGTATGACTACATGCTGAGTCCTGTGAATCCTACTGGTGAATCATCAAACATGGAGGCGGTCTTGGGGACCTCATGACACAGAAGCCAATGATTTTCATAATGTATTTCACTGACCCTCTCATGGGATGTTTAGAAAAGGCAGTAGGAGTAGGCAAAACAGCATAGCCTTAAAAACACAGCATTATTTAAATGTCGACTTAGCTACTACATCTGAATCCTGGTTTCATTATCTATAAAACTGGACCAATAATACTTAGTTTTTAAGGTTTTTACAAAGATTTAGAGATAATAGTACAAGAGGTCCATATTATACACCCTTTAAGGAGGAGCTGTTATTTTCATTCAGTCTTTTGGATATGATGGAATGATCAGAAGGAATTCTATGGATCAAATTTTATGTATCCATATATACATGTAGCAATAGATCTAATTACATATGTGGACTAAAAGGTCTCAATCATGTTGGAACTTGTGAGCGGATTGTTTTTCTCAGGATCTGTGTAGAGCTCCTCTGACTAAGGACTTGCAATGGAAATTGTGTGGAGAGCAAACACAAAAAGAGCATGTTTATACTCATCCTCAGCTTTCAAGTCATGCTTAGCTATTCATTGCTTGCTTTTGGGGTCCTGCCCACTCCACTGATTTCTAGGCCCTGACCTCTTTCTGGCTGCCAATCTGCACTCCTTAACTATTTATTGGGTGCTCAGCTGTTCCTCCAGCAGTACCCTTTTTTCAACCACTAGCTCACACATGATTCATTCACCATCATTCACTCGGTCCTATATGGAGGATCCCCAGTGAAACTCTATTCTGGCTGGGTCCCTGGCTTCACCTCTTGACCAGTTTGTAATATTTGCTCTTGAATAAAGTATACTTCACTTTTGTGAAAGAAGAATTATTAGGCAAATATAATCCCAGTCAGTGGCAGCATATTTGGAAGAAAAATTCATTTATGTTTATTCTTTTTATCCAACAGTTCTTAAAACTACCATTGTGTCATCTGAAATAATGTAACAAAAAGATTTAAAGTTGAGTGATTTCAAATCTCGTCAGCAATTCAAATGAAGTTGTTTCTTTAGTATATACTAGGGAGCTGCCACAAAAAGCGGGCAATGTCTGCAAGGAGTTGCTTTATGGCACATCATTTTCAGAAAGAAAAAAAAAAATCATTAGTCTTTCATATCAAGGGTAAAATACCTAAACAAAGACATTTGCTCTGTATTTCTCAATCAGATGTGATATAATGGTAAGAGTACAGCATAGGGAATCAGGGAGCTTATGTTTCAATCTTCAGTATAGTTATTATGAGCCTTTCCCACTTCTGCTTTCATCTGGGTAGGAGTGAGCTAGTAGAACTTGCCAATAGAATGTGAGTAGAAGTGATTGTGCCACTTCCCTCCTAAGGTGGCTTGAAGCAAGTATTCTGTCTCCATGCTCTCTTCCCCTAGCTCCTGGCTGGATGTTGACACCCAGGGTGACCTTAGAGGCCACATGTTGAATATTGTAGAGCCACTCTCATCCAGAGTCTCTCAATGGCCACATAAATAATCATCCCTTTCCTCTTACCAATCATGAACATCTGCACTAAGTTAAGCCATTGACATTTTGAGATCTTGTGTTACAGTAGCTAGTATGTCCCTAATTAAGTTTTTTCACCTCTTTATGCAAATCTCTTTGGGTTGTTATAAGAAATTAAATGAGTTAGAACAACGCTGACACATAATAAATGCTCAATAAATGTTAGCTATTAATATTACTACCCGCTTTAATACTAACTAGTTATGAGTCATTGAAAGTGTCCATTTCCCTGGTCCTCCATTTCTACAATTGTAAAATGTGAGGATCATGCTCGGTGATTCCTAAGTTTCCCTAAATTTCAAATTTCATAATCAGAAACCTCTTCAAACTGCTAAGAAAAACATTATCCCACAGAAAGTAGCCAGACAATGAGGTAGAGGCATTCAGAACATCAAGTAAAGAGGGAAAGAAGTAAAAGAGAGAACAGTACAGAGGACACTGAGAGGGAAAAGTATTATTAAAGAGAAGCATATTTTCTTTCTGAAATGTATCCATCAATTTTGAAGTAAGCTTTGAAGAGAAGATTTACAAACCGAGCTGTGTCCTTGAGACTTTCATTCACACCCAAGTGAATATCTTGTGTGGTCAGAAAACAAGGGTGTCCTCCCAGAAGTGCAAAGCCTACAATAAAAGAAAGAGGGGGGAAAAAAGCATTTTGAACAAAAGAACTAAAGTGGGAAACATGATTATTAAGAACTGTCACCATTTCAATTGAAAAGTCAAACTCTTTAAAGCTTTTCAACCTCTGATAGGGAATTCCCAGGCAAAGCAAAATAAGGGAATTTTCTGTATAAGCACTGAACTCTCCTTCAGATGTGTGCCCATTTCTCCACCCTCTTGTGCAAAATCTGGCAATAATGGGACATTGTTCCCTTTTGGAGACTATGCCTAATTTTGATTCTTTAAATATATAATGATTCTATCCAGGAAAATGGGAAAATAAACTGTAGTATGGGATAACATGGATTACAATGGAATACTACTCAGTAATAAAAAGGAATGAACTACAAATACAGACAACATGGATAAATCTCACAAACATTATACTGAATGAAAGAAGCTAGATACAAAGAATAGATCATTTCATTAGTATTTCATTCATATGAAGTTCTGGATCAGGCAAAACTAACATAGAATGGCAGTAGTCAAAACAGTAGTTGCTTCGGGAGAGGGTGATTGCCTGGGAAGGAGCACTGGTGAAGTTTCTGGGGTAATGGGAATGTTTTATACCTTGATAGGTTACATAGGCGTATGTATTCTTCAACACTGATTGAACTGTGCATAGGGAAGCCAGCCCCTGAACCAACTATCAGTGAGATCTACAGGACACATCGTGGAACTGGACACAATGTTCTTCATCTGAAAAATCAGGCAGTTTGCCCAGACCTCTAAGACTCCTTGCAAATCAGACGTGCTATGCCCCAGGTAGAATCAGAGAACATGAAACACACTAATAGTTCTACTTGCTAAGGGTCCTGTAATAAAGTCTCACTACATTTGTGATGCTTGACTGCTACAGACTTTCAGGGCCACCATCACTTTCCCTTCTCTTTCAGCCCTATATCTGGGCAAGCTTATAAGTAAGTGCAGACTGTCCCCCCTTTGGCACTAGCGTGAGGTTCAGACTACACAAGGCCTATGCATGGGAATCCTCAACCAGCCCCACATCCTAACTGCAAAAAAAGTGCAGGCCAGTATCATTTCCTCAGTCTCTAACAGCTTGGGAAACAGCCCTACTCTCTCTAGAAAGCCACATAATGTGAGTAATAAACCTTTTCATACCTTCTTGATGCATATGTGGTGCCCTCACTATCAACAATCAAACTAAATTTTGGCAGTAGGCAATGTTTTCTCTATGGAGTGACCATAACAGTTTCCTGGCCTCACAGCATGGTTCTGAAATTTACTTAATAATTCTAAAATTATGAGCCTGGTGCAATTCTAGACACTGGGAAAAGCATTGTAAATAACATGGTACAAATCCTTGCCTACATGGAACTTAAATTCTACTGGGAAAAAACGGATACTAAACTGCATTCGTAAATTACAATAGCCTGTCCTTATCTGTAGTTTTGCTTTCTGAGGTTTCAGTTACCCATAGTCCACCACAGCCCGAAATATTAAATAGAAAATTTCAGAAAGAAATAATTTTATAAGTTTTAAATTACACGCTGTTCTGAGTAGCATGATGAAATCTTGCACCCTCCTGCTCTGTCTCTCTGGGATGTGAATCATCCCTTTGTCCAGCATCTCCATGCTACAGGGACTCTGCCCATTAGTCACTTGGTAGCCATCTGTTATCAGAATGACCGTTGAGGTCTTGCAGGGCTTGTGTTCAAGTAACCCTTCTTTTCCATAATGATGACACATTCACATAACTTTTATTACAATATATTATTATAATTTTCTATGTTATTATTAGTTGTTGTTAATCTACTATGCCTAATTTATAAATTAAACTATCACAGGTACATGTATAGGAAAAACATAGTATATATAGGGTTCAGTACTATCGGACACTTCAGGCATCTACTGAGGATCGTGGAACATATCTGCTGAGGATAAGGGAGGCTACTGTAAATATCTTGTATGATAGCTGTTGATAAGTTCTATAAGAAAAATAGATCAGGGAGGGGGGATAGGGAAGGTAAAGAATAGGAATTATAGATCATTTGGAGAGATCCAAGATGGCTGCAGACTGAGTGGAAGCTAGACTGACACTCCCTGGACTAATCTGGATTTACATCTAAAACATAGAAAAACCATCCTGAAAACCAACTGAAGACAAGCTGGAGAGCACACTCATAACCAGAGGAAAACTGGAGACCACACAGAGACTGGTAGGAAGCACAGACGCGAGAGGGCTGGCTGGGCTCCCACAGGCGGCAGCTGAAGGTCTGGAGGGAGATCTCAGCTGTGGGGGGTCCCACTGAGGACTCTGGGCCTAAACCCCAGGCTGGGCTTCCCAGCCCAGAGCCCCAGAACTGAGAAAGGTGCCCACATAACATGTGGCTGTGAAAAGCAGCCGGGTTTCTGTCTGCCAGGGAGAGGCAGGTGGAACTGCAGGCACCCTCTTAAAGGGCCAACGCACAGATTCATGTGCAGCCACTCGCCTTGGGCTGTGGTTGAGGGGGAATGGACTGGACTGGAGCTGTGTGGGGAGAGTCATTCCCCCAGACTGTGGGGGACGTCTTTCTTGGGAGGCGAACTTTCGGCTTCTGCCTGAGGGNGGCAGCAAAGTTTTGGCTTTTGCCTGAGGGGGAAGCAATTGCTCCAACCTGCTGGAAAGCCACTCATTCTGACGGGAGGAGTTTCTACAGCCTGAGGCTTGTTAAGAGACTGATAACAACCAGCCACCCAACCCTGTGGAGATTCTACAGCCTGAGGCTCACGAAGAGAATCAGATTAACAAGTCTGCAGACTAAGGCAGATCTCAGGGTGCTCTGAGTTTTTGCCTGACCTGTTTTGGGACCCAGGCCTTAGAAAAGCAGACTTTGGTGTGCATCTTGGTCCTGTCCAACCACACCCAGCCCCGGCAGTGGAGACCTCAAGCCTGGGGTTGTTGATAGCTCCAAACAGAGTACTCAGGGACAGTCACTAACTGCATCTCATATTGGCCTGTACCAGAGACCCTTCAAAAAGACTGAGAATCCTAGCAGATCTACCTAACATTTAGCCAAAATGGGGAGACCAAAAAACAAGCCCCAAATGAAAGAACAAGAGAAGTCTCCAGAAAAAGAGCCAAATGAAACAAAGATAAGCAATCTCTCAGATATAGAGTTTAGAATACTGACTGTAAGGATGCTCAACAGCATGAAAAAATATTTGGAAACTATGGAAAGTGACCAGTCAGAAATAAAGAATGACATAGCAGGTATCCATTTAATTATTTGCTCCCTTTGCAGCAAAACTCTTTGTTTTTTTCTTTCTTTCTTCAGTTCTTCTTTTCTTATTTCTTTCAAACCTGTTCCCATAAAGCTTTGGCCTCCCAACACTGAACCAAAACTCCTCTCACCAAAGTCACCAGTTACCTTCACATTGCTACATCTAGTGGCCATGTCTCTCTTTCCTTGATGTAGCAGCATTTAACAAAGTTGGTCACCACCCCCTCCTTGATAAACTTCCTTGCCACACTGCCTGGGACACCACACCTTCTTCCTTTTACATCTACTTGGTAGTTCATCCTCCTCAGTCTCCATTGCTGGTTCCTTTTGTTTTCCTTGACCTCTTAATGTTGATGTGCCCCAGGGCTAGCCCTTGGTCCTCTTCCCTCCATCTACCCTCATTCCCTTTATAATCGTATCCACTCCCATGGCCTTAAATACCATCTTTATGCTGATGATTTCAAATTTTCTAGGCCAGACCTCACTCCCTTACTCAAAGCTAATAACTGCCTTTTCAACATCTTTGCTTTTGTGTCTTATAGACATCTCAAACTCAATACTTCCAAAAGTGAACTCCTGATCTTTCAGCTCCATTCTCTTCGCAGTTGCTCAGACAAAAACTTTAGAATCATCCTTGGTATCTCTCTCTTACCCGATACATGAGGAATCTTGTTGGCTCACCCTTCAAACGTACCCAGAATCTGTCTTTCTTACCCCTTTCATTGCTACCACCCTGCCCCCAACCTCTATGTACTATAGCAACCTATTAACATGTTCACTGGTTCTGTCTTGCCTCCATCCCCACCCCAACACTTTATTCTCAATAGAGCAATCAGAGAGATTCTTTTAAAATGCAAATTAGATCATGTCCCTCCTTTGTTCAAAGCCATCCAAAATTTCCTATTTCACTCAGAGTAAAGCCAAAATCCAAATAATGGAGTACTTGTTTTTCCCCCAGTTCCAGGGACATTTTTCTCCTTGCTGAAAGGATTTGTCACCTTCCACTGATATTGTATTATTATTCACTTAATGGTTGTCTATTATTTGTCTGTGTACCCACTAGAATATAAACTCCATGGAGAAAGGGGTTTTCCTTTATTTTGTTCACTGCTGTATCACTCTCAAGTCCAGGATAGAATAAATTCTGGTGCATAGGAATTGCTCAACAAATACTTGTTGAATGAATTAAAGAGGGATTTTGACTCTGAACAGAGGACCCATTCTCTTCACTTGCAAACTTCTAATTTTGTTAACAGAAAGAACAGAATGTCCTATTATGTGTGAAGTGAGCTAATGGGATTTAGTGATGATTATAATCACTAATCACTCTTGAGCATTTAATCTGTTTATAAACAAAATTAGTCACCTAAATAAATATGAATACTGCAAATTCATCAAGAAAGTATTTATTGTGTGCCTGCTATGTGCCTAGCAAGGGGATGAATGTCACTGAGGGTTAGGGACTATGGAGGAACATTTCACACAAAGTTTAAGACCTCCTAGTAGGTCTGCTCCACATCATACTCTTACTTTGACTAGAAGTTATTTTGCTGTAATAACCCAGGATTAGTTACCTTTTCATTTTCCTCTGTGTGCTATAAAGAAGAGTTACATCAAGCCTGGACTTCAGAGGTAGGGGTAGGGGGAGGGAGAGGGGTTACAGAAAGTGTTAAGAGGTAGGAGTCAAAGCCTTCAGTAGTTCTTAAAGGAGATAAAATGGGGGACATTGCCTCTGAGAAGGAATTGCCTCTGCAATTTGGTCACTGATCAGAAAGAAGCCTCAGACCCCATTCCAAAAGCACAAGTCAAGCATTCACCAGTTTATGAGACCTGGGTGGCAGTAACTGCTTTAGGATGGTGTCAGAGGTTCTGAGAAGCCACCAGGAGCTGCCATTGCTGACAAAGTTTCTTCTGTCAGTATCTTAATTTATGTCTGAGAACGTAATAGTAAATCTTATTTTGCTCTTTCTTTTCCTCACAGACCCCTGGAAGCTTTGAAAGAAGAAGTATAAAAGAATTCATGCACTAGAAATCTGAGGGCTCCGAAGGCTCTTGCAGGTAGAACAAAGGCACTTATTAACCTCTCTTTGTTTTTCACTTTCCTACCTGCAGAATAGTATCATGACTTTTATATTGCCACCTTTGTAAAGGTGATGAATTTGAAACAGCTTGGAAAACACCAGCTTCTGTTCCACCTTGAAAGTCAAATACCAATGTTAACTAATGAAAAGAGTCATCTCTTAGGATGCCCTGTTAGTTTTCTATCAGCTACTGCGCTTACTAAGATTAACAAATGTATCTGTCTATCTGCTCAATTAACTTGCAATAAAATAATATAATCATGAGTAAACATGCAGGAGAATTACACATTTTACCAGGCAGGTATACACAAAGAGTGGGCGAGGAATAAATGATCTACGACTATACACAGTGACATTGATACATCTCACAAACATAATGCTGAGCAAAATAAGCCAGACACAAAAGAGCATATGCTGAATGATTCCATTTATATAATGTTCAAAACCAGGCAAAAATAATCTGCAATGTTCAAAGCCAGGATAATGGTAACCCTAGGGTGGGGGAAGTAGCAACTGGAAGGAGATACAAGGAAGGGCTTCTGATTGCTATTAATGTCCTGTTTATCTATCTGGATATTAGTTACAAGGATGTTTTCACTGTAAAAATTCATTGAACTATATGATTGATGATTTGTGTACTTTTATAGGTGTGTTACACTTTAATAAAAAATATTACATGAGCAATTAATATGACTTAAATTGGGTGGAAAATTTTATTCTGTTCCCTGGGATAAGTAGAAATACTGCTATATCTCTATGACTCAGGCTTGGGATGGAGTTCTCATGGATTGTCCTGTGAGGGTCACCTCATCCCAGAGGCTTGCACAAATCCAGGGCCCCAATAGGTAGTTTTAATTACACATTATTTTGATTCTCAGTACCAAGATAAAAGGTTTTGATGAAAAATTGTGCCAAGGGACAACTATTAAGATGAACATATACATAATAGAAAAGCTCTACCATGTTCTTGGTTGAGGTTTACCATTTCTGTAAGCATTTAAAGCAGCTACTCTGACTGATTCTTCTACTGCTGAACTTGGCAGAATGCCATATGCAATTAGAACCAAGGGTATTTATTGAGGATAATGGTGAATACTCTGTGAACTAACTTTTTATGGTCTTATGTTCCTTTTCTCATGTATTTGTTGTTACAGTGTGCGATTTTGTGCAGGTTTCTGAGCTCTTCTTTATAGAAAGCAATAATTTAACAAAATGCTTAATACCACTTTTAGGAACAATTTTACTAGAATAAAACATGACCATCACATGTCTAAATTAAATTAGATTCTTAAAAAGTACAGTTAATAACAGCTTCCAATCCTAGTCTGCCATTTATTAGCTATGTGTTTCTGGGCTATTTGTTGAACCTGTTTAAGCCTGTGTCCTTCATTGATCTCACCCCTATAGAGTTGTCATGAGGATTAAATGAGATAATCCATGTAATTAATGTAGAGTACTTGACACAGGATCTGTACCCAAAGGCTAAATATTCACTCTTGGTTTTATTAATAGCTTAATAACTACATTATATGTGATTAATAAAACTGATCATTTATTCAGGGATATTTGATATCAAAAATAACATTTGAAAAGAGAAAAATTGTAGAAAACATCAACTAAGAATTAGCTTTAAAATTTTAAAATTGAGAAATTTCTATGTCTTAATTATTTTGATAACTTCAAAAAAGAACACTCCTGTACTAATGATAAAAAATGACAAAATAAAATAAAATTCTGTCCAACTCAGGGAAGACCAGTGTTGAAATGAAGCAGAATTTGAGAAATACTGACTGGTTTTTGCAATATTCATTTTTTCTTTACTATATGGCAGGTGTCCATGTGATCTCTTTAAGGGGGCAGCTTTTAAAGAGCAAAATGTTCTCATCTGTTTTCTTTCTATGACTTTAAAGATTAGGTGACACCTTATATGTTTCCCCTCTTTCCTCCTTCCTTATTTCAGGGGACAATGCAAGTGCATTAATAAGAACAGTGAACTTAGCCTCTGAACCTTGGTGCTATTTGTATTAATTGAGTGAATTTAAGAAGTCACTTAATCCTCTTGAACTTCATTTTGTCATGTATTTGATAACTTCATTACTGATCATTACAAGGCAAGAATGGCACGAAGTAGATGTGTGCTTCTAAGCTCTAGAAAGCTCTGATGCTTGTAAGTGGGACAAGGTATTTGAAGAATCAACCAATGAGGATTTTGTTGTTGTTGCTTTGTGTTACCTCCTCCCTAATCCTATCCATTTGCCCATTTAGACAGTCATATTGTTGATTCAAGGGAGGTCTTGTATAACAGAAATATAGAGAGAAAGAAAAGAGCTAATGTGAGACTTATAAATTACAAAAGAGACTTTTTGAAACAGTGCAGAGGTAATCGTTTGAGAAAAAAAGAAATTTTTGTTTCAACAGCCTAGGATTCCAGCTACAAACAATAGTTTTGAAAGAATATATGGATAGTCATAGTGAGTTTTTCCTCCTACTTTATCACTGGGCCCCCAATACTGGGAACTGGAAGGGGAAGAAGAGGAGCAAGAGAGAAGCAACAGAAATAGAAATTGATGGATCTTTGACACTGTTAACTCTTGTCTGTCCTCCAGGCCAAGTACTTCAGGTTGGAGAGCATGATGGAAATTTTAGAAGAGTTTGGGGAACTCCAGAGCTGAGAACACCTGTTTAATGCTTTTAAGACAGAGCTCTAGGAGGCAGCAAATGTTATAGAACTCCCTGGCACCCAGCATGAAGAAGGAACAATAGAGTAGAAAAAGCCTTGCAGTATTTCTGTGCTCAGTGTGGTGTGGAAAGCTGCCAAGAGGCTGAGAGAGTCAAACTAAGATATATTTCAGGTCTTGTGATCAGAGTGAAGCAAATTCCACAGTGAATGGGAGAGAGCCAAAGCCCAATGGGGATACAGAAGTCCCAGAAAACTCCAGCATGGGCCTTTGATGATGATGTCTTGATTACGAATAACCAGATACCCATAGTCCTAGATGTCTTGACATTCACATACTCTCTAGGACTTAACCATTGACAAGCAAACCCCGAAATCACTGAGGATTTTGTAATGTTGAAGAGATTAAGTTTCCACCATCCAGCAAAATTGATAAAAATAAGAAAAAGTTCTTTATATATTAGAAAAATACACATTTCTTGACCACATGAGTTTGAGGCCTGAGAATTTGTGTCCACTTACATTTTGTACTTAACATGAAGTGCTTTCTATTTGGGACATCTACTCAAGTCCTCATTGAGTTCCTACAGATGAAGCTAATCTTTCTGCTTGCAGCTTCTGTGATAATTGGAAAGGGCATTTAGAGGCTTGTACTGCTGCTCCCAGATACAGTATTTCCCCTTTATGGTTGCTAAGAGAAAGACAGATCGCCCTCACTGGGCTACTCCTTCCTCCCAGGTCCTCATCCTCTGGCCCCCCTCTTCAACACAAGGGTGAGTTTGTCAGTGGACTCACCTGTTTCTGTGGACAACCTTGTTCGAGTACTTCTCTTTTCAAAAATCATGCCTAAAGACTTCCCTTGCAATAAAGGCAAATACTGAAAATCAAGGACAAGAATATAATTAAGATGAAAAATATATTTATATCCAATATCAAGGATTATGTTTCAAAACTTATTCTTTATATTATCAAAAACTGTAGCATAATTAATCACTACTTCCAAATAAATATTCAAAGTATTACTTAAAAATGAATTAAAAGTGTTGTGTTTTTTCCCTTTTCTATACAAATGCAAGAAGGGAATAACAACTTCCACAGATTGTTGACATAATTAGAAAGCACTATTACTTGCTTTGGGTTCAGTCTGAACAGTTGCTTCAAAGATATTAATATTTCACACTGGGACCATCTTCTTAATTAAATCCATGGAAATTGCCATCAATATTCAATGATGCTGAAGATGCTTAGTTTGGACATGTTTTCTCAGCTAGGAACATGCTACCCTGTCACAACATGGGACACTAAGACTCCTAAAGATGAGTCCTCAGAGTGTCTGCTACACTTTCATTATGTATCCTCATGGGAGTACAACGGTTTTGTTTCTGAAAGTCACGTGGAAACCATCTGGAGATTGGATGCACTCTGGAAAAATAGATTTCTGCCAGCTAAACATCTTCACACACAATGTAAAGAACAAAGGCTTGGGATTTGGGGGGACCTTTTCTCCTTATTTCAGATCTTCTATAGGAATAGCATCCCATAAAAGTTGGAGTCACTCTGTTTTCAGTTTGTTTTTAAGTAACTTGCAGAGCAAGGTAAGAAAATCAAAGTTGTATAAAACTTTCTCAACCTGAAACCAACTCTTTACAAAAGCTTTTAAACAAGTTTGGAATACAAAAATGCTTTCACAATTAAGCAGTCTAAGTGAAGCTACTGTATTAAGTGTGTGGCAAATGAAAATTGCTCTAAACACAGAATAATAATTACAGCTAAGCACCATGTCCCATTCTCCCCCCTACTTGGTTAACATTTAATTGTTTCTTTGCTAAATTTTTCAATCAACGTCAGTCACATCATTGCAAATGTTTAACATTATCCTAATGATTGTATATCTGATATGCATTCTCATTTGAAATTTGTGGCTAAAAAAAAATATATCATCTTTTTAAAAATATATATATCTTTATTGGTTTCAGAGAGAGGAAGGGAGAGGGAGAGAAAGATAGAAACATCAATGATGAGAGAGTCATTGATTGGCCACCTCCTGCACGCCCCAACTAGGGATCAAGCCCGCAACCCAGGCATGTGCCTTAACCGGGAATCGAACTATGATCTCCTGGATCCTAGGTTGATGCTCAACCACTGAGCCACGCCTGGCCGGGCCATCCTTATTTTTAACTTGATAGAAAACACACAGAGAAAAGAAAGGAGATATAAAAATAAAATCTTTCCAGAGAATGATTCTTTAGTTTCTGATCCAGTTAATAATGAATTTCAACATTCCACATGAAAGAAGTGCAATGACTTGTCATTGAATAACTGATTTTTATCCTTTTTATATGCTTATACATTCAGTGATAATCAATTACCTTGACTGTGTGGTTTTATTACTTGCTACTGTTTAGGAATTTTAATGTGTTTTCTGTTCCCTCTTTCTTTGTAAGGCTGTCTTTACAAAAGCTGATTGGTACTAATGGAAGATGAGATGAAAATGCTACATACCTCTCCTTTCTGCTTTATTCTATATTTCAGGTCCGCTGATAGCCAGAGCATATACTTAATTTCTTCTCCTGTAAAGTCCTTTAGAGTGAGGAGGTCACGACCCTTCAGCTGTATTTTATTTTGTAGTGGTTGTCCACATCT